ACTTCACACCTGACTGCAAACCTCCCCAGTTCATGCTGAAGATCATGGTCTGATGAAGTCAACAGAATCACACTGTTTGTTTGCAGAGAAATTATTAACATGCTACCTGTTGTCTACAAGGTATACTAACGGCAACTAGCTCTAGTTCACTAAGTTTTATGGCAATGTTGGCTTTTATTTCTGGACAGGTAATGCTGACCAGCTGCTTATGATGCTAAACATCTGTGTTTTACACCAAAACATGAGGAGCCTCTACAGTGTAACAATGTCCACATTATGAAGACTAACCATGAAAATGTATGTTCTTCCTAAATGTGTGCAATTGTGTCTTCACTCATAAACTGTAATACAGTTTTATATTTTGCTGTCCAAAGGAACACAGTTAATGTCAACCTTTCATCGATAAACAGCGTGTATGGATTGTCTCCTTGTCATGATCTATGCCTACCTTGTCCTGCCATCTCCCCATTTTCTGTGGTCCAGTGGGATGAGCGTGACACCATTGCTTCAGTTCCTGTTCCTGGCTGGGTTAATGCCACCGCAGTTTCTATCTTTGAGGTTGCTCCTGTCTTGCCAGCTACCCAGCTAGAGTGGGCCTGTCTGGCTGATGATAAGCCTGCTTCCCAATCAATTGTCCACTCAGTTCCTGCAACGGTCTCTCCAGCTGGACCCCAGCTTGCTGTCCAGGCCACATTTGGACAAGTCCTTCGGCCACCCGCCTGTCCTATGAAGGGGTTCTGTTGCAAACGTCGACCTTCAGCCTGTCCCCTAGAGGGATTCTGCCATACATGTGGGTCTTCTGCCAGCCCCTCGGGGGGGCAGTTTCCTGCCTTATCTCATGGCCATCCTTCTAGAGGCCTCAGCTTCCTGCCTGCACTCAAGGCCATCCTCCAGGACTATTCCAGTCTGCCCACTGTTTGGTAGTCACCCACCTGAACTCTCTGGTCTTCAGGTTCCCCTGCTCCCTGGCTGCCCAGTTGGGGTCATTCTGAAACCTTCCTCCACCCACCCTGGTCCATGTCAGTATTCATCTGCCCCCTGGCTCTCCAGTCCAGTCCAGTTTACTAGGGGTTGCCTTTAATATTTATGTGTAAATATATTTGTAAATAATTTTAAATTTGCTGAAACATTTTGATTTTGGTAAGAGTAATATTCAACCTAAATTGGGGGTGACTGTGGTTCAGAGGGTAGAGCAGTCGTCTCCCAACCGGAGAGTTGGAGGTTTGAATCTCAGTGCCTGCAGTCCACTGTTACGGTCGCTCGACACCACTGTGAGCGAGCAGAGAATTAACAGACCCAGGCGGCTGGCTTCGGTGCAAGTAGTGAATTTATTTACAGTGCTAACAGAGGTGCAATAACATATATACAAAATGGAAGGCAGGAAATATCACCGGGTGTTGACCAACAGTGGTGGAGTGGTTATTGTCTGTGGAGTGATGATAGACCGAGCTGCGGGGGGTAGGAGTCACTCCTGGGCTGGTCAAGGTGGAGATCCGGTAGACTGAGGAGATACAGATAGTTCAGTGACTGTGGAGACTGTGCATCGACCTGTGATGGTGGTTGGTGGAGCTGAGGATGCCAAGGTCCAGAGGAGAGGTCCAGGTAAGAAAAAGGAGACGCTAGGAATAAATAACATACGTGGAATAAGGAGATAAAGCACAACAAATACATACAAGGGAGGCTAACGACAGAGAAAGAACTAGCAAGGGAGTGAAGGTAAAACCGAGTATAAATAAGGTGGACAAAGGAAGCGCAGCTGAATAGTGTCAGAAAATCAGGACAGGTGTGTCTAATCAAGAGAATCAGTGTGAAGGAGCAGACTAGGGCGAGAAAGAGAGAGAAGAGAGGAAGGTGCAGCCGGGCAAACCTGACAGTTAGGGTCTGCCAAGGGGCTCAGGTGCATCATTGTCAGCACAGAGAGGGACATGGCGCTTAGTAGCGATGTTGTGCAGGACAATACAGGCAAGGGTTATGTTGCATGCTTTCTGTGGTTACGCTCTCAGGTAGTTAAGGCATGCAAAGCGCCTCTTAAGATAGACATTATTACATTGTACTACAGTATTTTATATTTTTGCTAGATAATTATGATCATGATTATTTGAAAAAATAGTTGTTCATTATTGAAATAAAAAGATATATGCATATATTGCTTGTGTGTGTATGTTATGGTTTAGTACTACGCTTCCTGATTTGACCATGCCATCCTGCCACATCACCACAATCGACCATTATTCCACTCACCTTGCCACTCATTACCTCCTGGTCCTGCCACATATACAGTATATACACTCGCATTTCCACCTATTCTTCGCTGGATCATTCTTGCCTCCTTGTCCTCATGTCCCCACACTCTGATTTTCTCATTCTCCTGATGTTCTTGTCTCCATGCTGTCCTGTCTTCATGTCCTCCTGTTCCCATGCTCAACACGGTGCACTCCTCCTGGTTCCCTGTTGGTCCCCGTCAACTCTCCTGCACATCCCAGCCTTCTGGTCCTCCTGGTTTCTTGCCCCGGTCCTCCTGGTTCCTCACCCGACCTGGTCTCCATTGCCTGCTGCACTTCCTGCCAGCCCCTGTGCCTGCTCGACCTCTTGCCACCCAGCATAATTTGTAATTTATGTAATAAACTTTTTACTATAGTATCTCCTTCCCTGTTTCCTGAGTCCACACCTGGGGTTCAAACCATACACTCATCATAGCAGTGAATGTGTGTTTTGTATATGATTACGCCACAAAATATACAAAGCCTGGTGTATGCTATGAGGAAGATATACTGTATACTGTAGTTTTAACTAAGCATTGCTGTATTCTGTGGACACTGATGATCTATGTTAGTTGAGATACATTAGGCCTACATCTTTTCCAGTTTGTCATGTCTGTCTACCCATAATGATTCCTAAGCTACTGTATGTCTGCAAAAAGTAAATGACCTAAATGCTGCTAATAAAAGAAGTGTTTGTATGAGGCAGAAAGAGAGACTAAAAGCAATGTGCAGTGTTTGTTAAAGCAATAATTAAATTATGTATGTTTTATGAATAAATAAGCACTGCTAAAATGGCAGTCACTATCATAATATATATCAATAATGCTACTTTTAAATAACAGGGCAACAATGGCTCTGGTGGCATGGAGGGAAACTGGCCCAGGTGGCATGAAAGTGGACTGATACTCTGGTGGCGTGGATGTGGACTATGGCTTAGACTTGTTGAGGGACTGAGAGGATTATCATCTGCAACTACTGCATCTTTTCTTGGACACAAACACTAGGACAGCATTTTTGAGGTTCTCCCTTGCAAGGATCATAATCAGTCTTTATCTTTGAAATAGGAGCTGTATAGTTATCAGTCTAGGTTTTTGATTACATCTGAATTTTCCATTCCTGTGTGTGTCCTCGGTCTCAATAGTGCTGGCATCCAACTTCAAGTTTAGATGAAAATAACTCTCATACTTTGTCCTCACTTTGGACCCAGTTCTCATCAGATCCAGTGCCTTCAATCACAATATTGTTTTTCCTGCAAATAGGAAAAATAGTCCAGTTTGTACTGAAGTAGCTGTGATTCCCCAAATAGTCCAGTTTGTACTGAAGTAGCTTTAACTTCAGACAGTTGTGTTTGATATTCCTTATACTCTGATTCACACTTTCTTTTTAACACTTTTATATCATCAACAACAGCTTGTGAGTGCTTAAAACTAACTTTGAGCTCATGCACTTTGTTTATAAGCATGTCAATTCTTTTGTTTACTGAGTTCAGGATCATTTGTGCAAAACTTCAAAATGCAGCTGTTGAGCAGCTCCTGACAAATGTTTTTACATTGCTCCATTGTTTCTTTGAGTATATCCATTGTCAAAAAAGCTGACAGGTGCAGTGAATCTAATAAAGTTAGAGAAGCACTTACTTGGTGCTGGCGGCCAAAAACACAACTTAGCACTTAGCACACAGAAGTTATCATCAGCAGGACTCGGGGGTTAACATCTTTCTTATTCCAGTTCAGTTGAATCATAATAACACATCTGCCATTAGTGAGAATTTCCGCTATGGTTACCACGCTTTCTTTTAATTTGACTAGGCTGTAATCTCTACTACTGAGTGTTTCCATCTATTAAAGACCCTTCAACAGCTTGAGTCTAATCAAAGAATTTCTCTCTCTTTGTGTCTCTAGATAAGGAAATTCAATTAGCTTAATTGGTCTCAATATTATGCTCTGTAATGCTATGTCAGCATCACAGTCGATAGACTTCACAGGGCATTTTAGAAGCAACTCCCTAATTAAAGCAATCCATCCATCCATTATCTATACTGCTTATTCCTGCATAGGGTCACGGGGGGCTGGAGCCTATCCCAGCTGACACTGGGTGAGAGGCGGGGTACACCCTCGACAGGTCTTCAGTCTATCACAATTAAAGCCAGACCTTTAGTCAGCAATTTTTACCTTGATATTCTAGATGATTCAAAACTCAAATCTGAGTTATTAGTTGAAATAACCCACAAGGGGATTTCTTGCATCCCTTCTTGAAACCTGCTGATGGAAAAATACAAACGAAGTCTTGTTGCATGTGTGACGTACCAAAATAGAAAATCAACCTTTTTCTCGATCTATTCTAATCTATTCTATTTTTATTAAAAGAAGGGTCTGAAAAATGTGTTAAGATCTCATTTGAATGGGAAATTTGATTCCTGACACCAAGGGTCTGCTTCATTTGATAAAAACTAAAATGGGCATTTCAAAATCAGGAGAGAAAACAAACTGAGGAAATGATTGAACTTTAGATCAATCATACAGTACATCATAGGCTGCAACATACTCTGCTGTTTACAGGGAAGAGGCGCTATATCGGGCAGATACTGTACTTAACATACATGTGCTTCAGTAAACAGTGACATAGATATGTAAAGTATATATATATGAAAGATATGTAAAGTACGTAAATACACTAAGTGGAGAAAAAAAAGACTTCACACTCTCTTGTAACACAATAAAATTGTATTACATTTGTGCTTAAAATTATTACAATTACAGTATTTACAAGCATTGTCCTAAAAATAAACATCTCATGCTGGATGACACATCAAAAAAATCATTGCACAACAGCAAACAAAAATCAGTATTTCTTCAATGTACACCCAAAATGTATAAATTAGAGAATTATTTTTCTAGCTAAGAAATAGTGCTGAGTGCTGTTGCACACCAAACACTCACGTTGATAGTTATATAGAAGGATCAATGGTTTTTCTTTTCAGCAGAAAAGGATGTAACTATCATGACTGACATGACCATGTCTTAAGATGACTGAGCTGTTGCAGAGTGCAATTAACTGAACCCAAAGCTGTAGTGAACATGGCCACTCACGCCATAAGCCAAATCATTACATTGTATTCAGGTATCAGTAAGTGTAACAATGCCAAATTTTTGGCAATAGATGGTATAGAAAAAGTAACCAAGTAACTTCCCCAGCTGATTCCTACACTCCTACAGCAACCTGCCACCATGAGAATCTCCCTATATTTCGGTTTGAGCAGTGTAAAAGCAAAGTTTTTAAAAACAAAGACTGTCACTGGTGAAAAACAACAAAAGAAAACAAACAAACAAAAAAAAACAGCCTTCTATCACAAGAATAGAGCCTGAGGTCAAAGTCAAAACCCAGGCTGCCCAAATACTGCTCAAGTGGCTCTGACAGAATTCATTTGGCATATTGGCATACTTCTTAAATGCACATTCCTTCTTCTTGATTGCACATTCTTTTCCCTTTCTTGTTCTTTCAGTTTTAATTCTTGTTTCCTTGTTGCCCTATGGGAGAACATTGTACATGCACACTGAGAGCCACTGCACCAGAGTCAAATTCCTCATGTGTTCAAGACACCTGGCCAATAAAGCTTGGTCTGATTCTGATTCTGAAATTGAACTTGTCACCCTGTGAAGGACACACAGCAATGTGTTTGTCTACAGGCATTACATCTGATCCATAACATTTAAAGCTGCTTAATCCATGTTTTGGTCACTCAGCAGCTGTGAAACAAGCGTTAAACATAATATCTGACATACTGTACTATCAGCTTATATTGGCTAATGGGTTAGCAAACACTTACCACAATTTGAGAGGTTCATTGGAATTGTGTTTGTGTTCACCTGGTGAATGTATGTCTAATACTCATTTGCTAAAAAGCGAGTGAATATCTATCTCTTGAGCTGCATAAGGTTGTACTTCACCAACTAGTGGCTAATCTAGTGTGACTGCTGTTTGGTGCTGAGAAGACAGGAAACAAAAAAGCTCAGAGCTGAGAGTTTTCTCTTTTTCTCTATGGCTTCTTCACTACTAGAGGTACCATTCACATTAAAAGTAGTCATTTATTCCAATGTTAATATAAAGACAAATGCTGATTAGTCTAGTTTTAATTTTTTCAAACTTAGTTTGACTACAACCGGTCTTTTCACTTACATTCAAAACAGCCAGTCACATTTTACTTGTCTATTCTGAAATGGTACAACCAGGAAAGTAAACCTATGTGACACTAGTCTTCATGGGTCAAAAGTACAATGGCTCAGTGGTCTTCTAGTGGCATAGTGGTCTCAAATTTATTTATTTATTTATTTATGAAGGAAAAGATTTCATCCACTGGTGAAAAGTTTATTTCACAAACTCTGGTTGTTTGTATTGTAGCCAAATATAGCTGTGGGATTTGGATGCATGTCTTCTCTTTTCTTGTGATCGATTTGGGATTTTAAGGACTAGACCAAAACATAATCTTGTGAGAATGCATCACAGATAAGTCCTCAACCTGAAGATAGATCCACACACACACACACACACACACACACACACACACACAGCAACAAGTCATTCATTTTTGCCATCTTACATTCAGTATAAAGGTCTTTATCGCAAAATTACATTGATTGACATCCCCCTCAGTGTATTTTAGATTCAAGTAGAAGTTGTTGGACTGTGCAGTCAAGTAGGATACTGTCTGTCCTTGTCAAATAAAATGACACAGTGTCCAACAACTGGGATCACCTGTTGGTTAGAAATTGCCCTGAGGCAATTTGTTGGCCAGAAGGAAAGAGGCAGCATCCATCAGTCAAAAAGAAAGAAATGGACAAGCTATTTTTTTCATACTTGTACTTTGTTATAGGTTCCCAGGGCCTGTCCCTGCCACACTGTCATTGCTATGGCTATTCTGTACAGCAGTGTGTGTCCCCTCCCAGGGAGGTTTGCCTTGTTATGTACATGTGGGTAAAAGAGCTGGACAGGAGGCAATAGTGCTTTTTGTTGATTGATTGCAAACTCTCCTTCAGTCTCTGTCTCTCTTTCAAGACTCCCTTGAAAAAGAGGTTGTTAACCTCAATGGGATCTTCCTGGTTAAATAAAGGTTAAATACATTTCTCCCACTCCTCTTCTTCTCCCTCTTCCTCTGTTGACCTCTGAGGGTCAGCGGACCTGGGGAGCATAGCCCTCCTTCATCAGCCCTTCCTCGTAGTCTGTCTGGCAGAGGATCATGTTGTTCTTCAGGAAAAACTTATCTCCCACACAAAACCTGCACCACACAAAGAGACAGAAGGGGGCATGGAGGTTTACACAAACATCAAAGCAGGAATCTCATCATTAGTACTGAGTTGTAGGCTATCAGGCAGTAAATCTCTGATTGCAGTGCAAAATCTCTACCTTAACTATTGTAAACTCTTCAGATGTAACACTGCCATTTGCAGACAAGGAGTTCTCCTCTAGGAAACAGTCAGCTCAGTTGCAAGGGGGGAAATGCAGGGCCTGGGGGGTGGGAGCTAATATGAGTGAAGGGGGGGGACCCTGATGTGTATGAATGTACATGAGCTCATATACATGTACATGACTACATGTATATGAGCTTCCTTTCTGTCCCCTACCTACCATGGCAGCACTGTTGTGCTTCAGCCAGGATGACCCAGTTACACTTGACCTTTCAGCACAGCACCAACTGGAGATTATGTTGAACGTGTAAGGTCTGTACTCACTCTCACTGTATAGTCCTCAGGCTGCTTATCTACCTCAATGTTAAGGTTGAACAAGGTCGTAAAGCAGCAGTTACAGTGTTTATTAGGGGGAAGGAGAGCTTTCATGAGGACATGGGGACAGTGAGTCTCACCTCTGTTTGACTTCCCTGGATGTTAAGATTGCTGAATTCAATCCTGGGAGCTGCACACAGCAGAAGCAGCTCAGATACATGACATGTTCTAGCTGGTCACAACATTTATTCAGGGCCAAAGGGCAGACTGAGAGCATGACTTGTTATATCCAAAACCAATTAGCAAGATTCATATACACCATTGGTATTGGCACAAAATGGTGTGTTTCTAGGAATAAAACCAAATATTCTGAGGAAGAAATTACATGTATTTTCAAAAAAACATTATGTAAATCTGCACACTTGCTGCTTTTCTTTTGTAAATATATGAACATTTTAGTGATCAATGAAATAAAAGTACTGTACATATAGTGGGTAGCTCCAAACTGATTTTACAGTAGGAGTGGGTTTTGCCAAAATCTTCTTGGAACCTTTGTCCAAGGAGACTCAAGACTATCCTATCAAGAAGTACTTTTCATGCTACCAAGGCCACATACATAGACAGAAAAGGCAGACTTTGGACATAATATCAGCATTATTCAATTTGTTTTTTAAAACTGAATACTGACTAACAAAAAGAAACTTTTGTGTTTTCTTCAAAATGTATGCTTATATAAGTAAGAGAAAATGGGAAGGATCCTGTGAGATCCTGGCTTCATGTGTCCCCATGCAACCACCATTATCCTAGAGAATTATTGCAAATATTTTAATTAATGTCATCTTGTGAATTTATGTATTCATTTAATGTGTCAAATATATTAACCTGAATTTCTTTATCTTCTTAAACGATTTAAAGCTTTAAATCTAGGACTACAGTTCTGAGAGGAGTCTGCAACAATTTTTTTTTCTTTTTTGTCAAGCCAATGGAAGGCTTAGCACCGATATAAGTGCAAGAGCATTTTCTCAAGATTTTGTGTTTACCTTCTTTCACTTTATCATTATGTTGTCACTGCAGAGATCATTTCAAACTTATTTTCTGCTTAAAACATCTAATGTAATGCTATTTAACCTAAAAACATCAGCACTCAAAACCCACCGAACCCACTCAAACCTGTTTCTACCTTAAACAAACAGCTTAAACTGGCTTGATCATTCCAAAAAGTTCCATAAAGGTGTCCACACCTGCCAGAATGTTAAACATTTACCCTATAGATCATATGTTATCTTTTCCAGAGGCAGGAGGTTTGTTGCCTGTGTTAACCACATTTTTGACACAGGGTATATGAGGAGATGACCAAAAAATTAGGACACATTTCCTTGCCAAGTATACTGTATAAGGAAGCTCAACAGATAGTAAAAGACAGGTGGAAAGTCTAACACTGATCTACAATTTAACAAATATATGAAAAGAAACACAGAATTGTTTGGCCAGTATTTTCTGGACCATGCCAGTAGGACATATTTTCTGACAATCCCAAAGTGTATGCATCAGTGTCCCTGTTGGGAAACATTAGGGTAAACTGTGGAGGTGTACTAGGGTGAGGTATAATTTATGTATGAATTTGAGGTTTGGCTCAGAGCCAGAATTTGATTTTTGAAAAACTTTACCGCAAATAGAAAACAGGCAGAACTGATGAAGAGGTGAAACATCTTTGACCTAAAAACCTAGTCCAGTTGAAGTTTTTTTTAGCTTACTATGACCTGGATGACTGAGAATCTGCATGGATACAAATGGAAAACCACTCCTCATCAGTGAGGGGTTGGTAGTTACCAATGAGAGTAATGCATATAAATCTGAGACGTGGCCCATCAAAGCTAATGGAAGAAGAATATGCTTTTCAGTATGAGAAAACTCCTTTCAAACCTTTTCCCATCTCAGTTCAGACCAGATATAGTGATATAATTGAAGCAATGTCTTTAAATCTTTTTTAGGTACATGAAACACATTTTTAAGTACCTCAAAAGATTTAAAGACATTGCAAGAAAATAAGTTGGTAAGATTTAAGATGCTCTCTTTAAGCCCAGATCTGGAGGCCAAGATGTCTTCTAACATCTTCCTTTGCTAAGAGACTATTAAGTAGTAAAGGGTTATCGGCTCTGGGTTGAATCTTATTGAAGCTGTTAATTAATGGAAGGGGTGTTAATAATAAGGATAATCACCTTTCTTGGCCAAGTATGTTACACACACGGAATTTGTTTCTGGTACAGATGTGAGGCAGCCATCTGCGGCGCCAACTCAACCGATGGCTCTAACCACTGGGGGCAACTTGGGGGTTCAGTCTCTTGCCTAAGGACACTTTGACTACAGGCACTGAGATTTGAACCTCCAATCCTCTGGTTAGGAGACGGCTGCTTTACCCACCGAACCATAGTCACCCCCATGGATTCCAGAGGATTCTATGGTAACCCAAAAAGAGTCTGCATCATTTATAAACATCTCACCATTTGTTTAATCTGGATGGCCCAGTAGTACAGCTACATACTGGGTCGGGACCTGCCACCAAGTTTGATCCCCCCAAGGTTTTTTTTTATTTTTCAAAATAAACTTAGCAACAGCAGTGTTAAGTCCCTTAAAAAAAAATTGCAGTTTAAATAGCAGGGTAAGCACTGGACCAAGTAAAGTCTGGGTAGAAGCATAGGGTGCTGCTGTTATGACATGCCTCCATTTTCCTAGCTGCTTTCAAGATAGCCTCCTTCACCGGGAAGTGTTGTATTTGGGGTGGAAGGGTATGGGCCAATGGTTCTGTGGTCCTGGCACATTTATTTTGTTCACAGGGATGACACCACAAACTGTTTTATAGTTTTAATAAAAGTAAACAATATTATAACATCAATTAATTATAATATAAATCAGTCATCCCTGGTAATTTAGTGGTTATGGCACAGCGCTCTCGCTGCTGTGGCCCAGGTTCAAGTCAAGGTTGCGTCAGGAAGGGCATCCGGCGTAAAACACATGCCAAATGTCAACATACGAGCCGTCAGTGTGACGATTCGCTGTGGCTACTCCTAAACGGGAAAAGCCAAAAGTGGCTTTCAATTATAATATAATTCAGTATGTAATTAAATCTAACAGTATAAACAGACAGGGAAAAGCAGAATAGATGTTAAAATATACTGAATGTAGATTCCTCCATAGGATCTGAGTCTTGAGTATGAAAAGTACAAGGCAACAAAATGCAGTTTAGCATCTAACCAGAAGTGCAATAACAGCAGTGCAGAGTGCGCAGTATCTACAGTATGAACAGTCAGAACTAACTTACTGATAGATATGTACAATTGATATTTACAGTAAGATATATAGGGTAATGTACAATGTACAACAGAATATGGATTCAAATTACAGTAATGGACAGGTACATTAAGCTTATGGAACACCAGTGCAATGGGATGAAATGGAATGAAAGAGTGCAGAATAAGAAGATAAGTTACATGAGTGAACAGCTCAATGGATGTAAATAGTGCAAAGATAAAGATAAATGTGGAGTATCTGGATATGAACAGTGTGCAAATGAATACAGAGCAGTATCCTGTGAGTAGAGAATGTGCAAATTAACAGATCACTTCAGTGATACAGGTAACAGAAGTGTATTGCGTTAGTCCCGAGAGGAGAGGTGAGAAGGGGGGAGCTGTGTGAAGAGGTACAGAGGAAGGCAGTGGGGGGTCGACAGGGGACAGAGTTCAGTAAGGAGACAGCTGTGGGGAAGAAGCAGTTCCTGAGTCTACTGGTTTTGGTCCAGAGGCTCCTGAAGCACCTCCCAGAGGGTAGGAGGTCAAACAGTTTGATAGCAGGGTGAGACGGGTCCTTAAGAATTCTGTGATCACATCGGAGACAGCATTCCCTGTGGACACCCTCAGTAGCTGGAAGTGGAGTCCCTGTGATGCGTTGGGCAGTTTTCACCACCCGCTGCAGCGCCTTGCGGTCGTAGACAGAGCAGTTCCCGTGCCAGACTGTGATACAGCTGGTCAGGATGCTCTCGATGGCACAGCAGTAGAAGTTCACCAGGATGGCTGAAGACAGGTGGTTCTTCTTCAGAGTCCTCAGGAAGAAGAGGCGCTGGTGAGCCTTCTTAACCAGGCTGCGGGTGTTGGTGGTCCAGCACAGATCTTCTGAGATGTGGGTCCCCAGGAATTATTAATGGGAGATGAAAGAAGAGAACACTTTGGAACCAAAGCGATCTGTATTGATTTTATTTATTTATTTATTTTCAAGTTCTGCAAAATGTAAAATATCATTTTACTTCTTGGGGCCTATATTAAACTATATTATTTAAATGAAATATTTTGAGATGTTTAAAAGGAAAATATTAAGTCTTTCATAGAACCAAAACACCCCCTTATTTTTCAGTGTGCAAGTGTTAACAGCTTGCCTTGCAATTTATTTGCCCAGCTAATGTGATGTAGCTACCGTGCTGTAATAATAACAAAGGTGCATGTACAGTACAGTGTATGTTTGTTTTAAAGCAAGTGGAAATTATGACACAAGTGAGACAAAAGAG